AAAAAATTTTTGATATATATGCGGCCAAAATAATATTAATAAAAAATTTTTATTTTGAGCAAAAATCGGGCGTTACTATGATCGTTTTTCATTACCACTACCATTACCACTACGTACCATTACGGTAACCATTACGGTAACCATTACGGTAACCATTACGGTAACCATTACGGTATCTATTATGGTATTAACACATAACCCTACGTACGTACCATTACGGTATCAGGTATTAACACATAACCTACGTATCATTACGGCTTAAAGACATAAAGACAGCATTAATGATTGTTCTTCAAAAGAATTTATAGTAAGTTTATAAATTTAATAAGTAAATTTTTATTAAGTAAATGATGTTTAATTTTTATTTTTCTTAATTGATTTGTTTCAAATCCAGTATGAAAGTACAGGGAAAGTACAGGGAAAATACAGGAAAGTACAGGAAAAGCACAATGTGAAAATGAAACGAGCTATAATAAGCTATATAATAAGTTATATAATAAGTTATATAATAATTTGTTTTATTAAAGTGTTTAAGTGTTCTTGTGGAAATCAACCAATCATGCGGGCGGTTTATCATATCGAACAGATTTAGCTTAATTATATTACAGTATCGGTGTTAGGAGTTTCTTATTATTAAAAAAGTGGTTGTCCGGGTGCATTCTGTGGTTTTGAACCAATAACGATAAGAATACATAAAAATAAATACCTGATACGTAACATACGTAACATACTACAACTTTATACAAGAGTATATAATTATAAACGAATATACGTACGTACGTATGTATGTATAGTATGTACGTACATTAGCATTAGTATGATACGTATATATATAATAATAATTGTAAAGATACATATATACTATATATGATTTTACTATATTTAAACAAAATCGTATTTTTTTAGTCTAGCATAAATTTCAATAATAATAAGTATATAATATATATAATAAAGAAAATTTAAAAGAACAGTATATCATCAATAATTATCGTTACGTATATGATACGTATCAGGTATGTACTTGCTTGCTTGCGTGCGTGCGTACGTACGTATCAGTATAATTTAGATTTTAATTTATACATAACTGATAACAGAATAACAGATATCGATATACAATAGTAATCCTTGCTGTAAGCACGTAGAGTTTTAAATATATGCAAAATGTAAGAACCCTCTGAACAGACAAAGAATACAATATTTTATCAGATTCAAAATCCTCTAAAAAAATTCTTCATTGTTCTTTTGCACGGGAATGCTCGATATTCAATACGAATTAAATATGAAATTGAAAGCGAACTGTTTGTGCAAATTTAGTTTAGAAAAAAAAAATTTTTTTTAACATACATAATATATATAATTATAAAGAAAATCATTGTGGGATTTTTTAGCATTAGCGTTATACGTAGTACCTAATTTGATAATCTTGTATTCATGGCCCATACGAAAATACGATATTTCTCATTACGTATTCTTGTGCAACGATCAACGTGATCATAAGTTTTTAGACACGCCATACCTGATAGTCGGAGTCTTTCAACGGTGTTAATATTTTTTAATCACTTCAAACATGCGAGGATTCCGGGGTTTTCGAGGATTTAGAAGTCCAAGGACATATATTCAATTGCAAGACGACAATGGTTTCACCGATGCACAGTTTCACAATCCTGTTTACCCAAGTATATATATTTCTTAATAAGATTCATTTTCCTTAAAGTTATTTGTACATTCACCAATTTTCTTTTTTGATCGTACCAGTTCCTTGGAATTCTATTATTTTGGCCGTTGTATTATTCGTGCTAGGCTCTTTAGGAATAATTTTTGGTTCACTCATTATGACCGGAATCATATCTAGTGAGGTAATGTTTGTCCGTTAATTTAGTTTATTCAGTTTATTCAGTTAATTATGGTAGATCACTGCACTTATGTCTAATTAATTTCAGGCTTGGCTCGATAGAGGAAAACCTTTTATCTTCCTTGGATCTTTATTATTCATACCCGGTATATGAAAATATATGAAAAAATTTGTCATTCCATCAATTATAGTACAAGTCACTTTTATTACAGTGAAATCACTATATTGTTATATCGAGTATATTGAGTATATCGAATATATCAAGTATATCGAATATATCAAGTATATCGAATATATCAAGTATATCGAATATATCGTAGTACATCAAGTTTACTATACTTGTATCGAGCGAGAGTTCACTATAACAGGGATGACTTGTAATTATTTACTATTTCTAACTTTTTTATTTATACAATTTTTACCACCAGGTTTTTATCATGTTCGGCTCGCTTATTATGCTTATAAAGGTTACGAAGGATACGATTTCAATCAAATTCCTGACTGGTGATCGATTGACTCCTATTTACTATACTTCAAAATTTTGTTATTTATTTTATAATTGTTTCATAAATTTGGTAGAAGTAAATATAATATAATTCATTTATTAAAAAAATTCAAGTTATTTTTTTGTGTTCTATAATGCATTTTAATATTTTTAATATGTTTAATATGTTTAATATGTTTTAATATGTTTAAGATTTTTAATATTTTTAATATACATAATCATCAAATTCCAATACCCTAATTATGAATTTTTAAATAATAAATGCCATCTATAAACTTACAACTCCACTCGTTCCTCCTCCAGCAATCATCAAAAGACCAACAATTAATACTATTCGCGTATACCTTCGGCTTAATTGCAAATGTTCTTTAATAGTCTCTACCTCTTTTTCTTTTTCTGCTGATGCCTGTGCTCTTTTTTTCTCAACCTCATAATGTCTCTGAAAATGTTCATTAAAATTAAATTTCAAATTCTTTCGTTGGTCCTGATATTTTTGTTCCGTTTCAGTATTTGATTCAAATGTAGTCCACTCTGATGGATCTCCATACATTCCATAATTTTGTTTTCGCTGTCTTCGGATTTTAGGTCGGAAATGAATTGTTGTTCTATTTATGGAATTTCTACTATTACTACGTACGCTTTGTTGTGACAATGTTCGATCATACTCTCTTCGACTCTTTTCATTGCTTAATATTGAATATGCTTCGTTGATTTGTAAAAATTTGTTGTGTGCTTTTTCATCATTAAAATTAACATCTGGATGATATTTTTTGGATAATTTGTAAAATTGTGCTTTTATTAAATTTCGATCTGCATGTTGCGAAATTTCTAACGCATCATAATGTCGACGGTAGTTTGCAAAGGTTGACGACATTAACCGAATTTGTTGAGACGCTGGGGCACTAAAAACTTTCGAAATCATTGGATCTCAATTAATCTCTATTTTTATTATGGTGCTTCTCGTTTACTTTTAAAATTTTATAACTATAAAATTTACGGTAATATCTATTATTTTCAAGTAACTATTATATTTATCGGTTAAATGTTTTTAAAATGCCTAAATATTAAAGTTAAAAGCAGTTGAAAGTTTAGAAAATTGTACAATTACTATGTATTTATAAAATTGGCGCCATTAAAATCGTTGGGATCACATAGTGTAACGTTTAGATTACTAATATAAATAATTTCTCGAATTGATAATTCTTTAAATTTGTGTAACAACCCAATCAGATTATACATAAACATTTTGCAGTCCCGTGATAATCTGCACGAAATTTCATTGGTTATTACTATATTCGATATTATAGCAGGGGGTAGCATATTACGATTATTGTAATATTATTTTTTTTTTATAACTAGTACATACCTGTCGCTTCGCTGACAGACATATTGTAATTGAATAAAAATGTGAGTAAATTTATTAAATATAAAATAGTTGATGCATAACTCTTACTCATCTGTAGAATTTGAAAATAGTTTCAAATATCGAAAACAACCTGCTATTATCAAAATAAACTCACTTGGAGTTTGAGAAAATTTAGATAAAAAAATTAAAAAAATTTTAGTGTTTTATGATCTGAGCATCACAAAATATAGTATACTAATGGATAATATACTAGAGAATCAGAATTTGACAAGAAATCTTTAGAATTCTGGCTTTTTGAATGAGAATTTTTAAAAATAATAAATTTAAGGAAATTTTACAGATTTTCGTATACAATAATCTGACGATCATAGTAATTTGAAAAGCACAATAATAAAAAAAATGTAATCACTAATTGTATAATTATTGGGTCAGATCAGACCTCAAGTTGATGAAATTGACAAGGAAGAGGATTGATTCCTTTCATATGATTATTTGAATTCAATTGTTTTCAAACAAAAAAATTTACTTGTGTTAGGGTTTAGACATTAGAAAAAATATTCTTATAGTAAAATTGTACAATGAATTTTTTTTGTTAGAACTCAAAAGGTAATTTACTAATGTAATTTTTGAGATAAATGTTATTTTTGCAAAACGAATGTTTGTTTTGAATTTTTTTACATTACACATGATCCTGATTTTTGATTGGCTAATTGATCTCAGAAAATCACATGAACAAAAAATCAATTCTCTGCTCTGGCATTGTCTCAAGTTGATGAATAAGCTCTATGACTACAATAACAATGCAAGGACCTCATATTGTAATTAGGCTCTGTAACTACAGTAGTACAGTCTGGGAATATACCAAATTTGGTCATCGATGATCTTACCTTATTTGGTAAATGAGCATCAGTCGGATGATTCTAGATTTCATGGCACATGAACATGAACCAATCAAA